AGCATTCTGGCGCACTATAGCTGCCGTTGCATCATCTAGGTGGGGCTGCACATTGGTGTTGATGGAGGGGAGTCCCTATTACCTGTAAAGCACTTGTTAACATAATATACTGTAATAATGAAGAGTAAGTTATCTGTCTGTTTAAGTATATCCCCCTTTTTTTTACTAATTTACATAAGTGATACAACAATAGAATTAGATACACAGTACACTGAATAATAGAACAGTCACAAATAAGTACTTATATTTAATTTAAAAATCGGTTTCATGACTCTGTTGTATTCATTTTTTTGTGGCTCTCAGTTTTTAGTTTTGCCCAGATTCTGCAGTTTCATTAAATCAGTCCCTTCATTGAAAATGTACTGAGATGAAAAAAGTGTGTGACAGTAATACTAACCCAGCAGTAATGTCATTGGGATTCCAGCTAGGATGAACAATCTTCTTTTCCACAGGAATGAACTGCTCCTTTCCCTCTATCCCATAAATATTATGCTCTCCCAGAACAACAACCAAGGGTGCACTGTTAAAAATAAAGTTTTGCTTATCAGTAAAAGTATTCAAGCAGTTTATTAATTGAATTCTTCTGCATTTTCAAAGTTGAGCATCACAAAAAATGTGCTATAAGGAAAAATGACAACAATGTGGAGTGTTCAAAAACGAACTACTTTAATAAAACATCTGCACTCTTAAACTTAAAAAACGAAATATTTTCCTACCTCCCAAAGCATGAGGCAGCTGTCAGAACCCATCGACGTTGGATGAGGACGCCGCCACAGTTATGGGGCAAGCAGTCACTCGAACTAATACGAATCGACACCTGAGCAAAAGCAAGTAAAGAAAAACACTCATTGAGAAACAGATTTACAACAGCACACCTGCCCTAAGTAGAATAACTTTATTCATAATGTACCTAGGAGATCTCATTGATTCTCAATCAATATAGATTTAAATTGCAGTATGTCAGAGCACAGCAGTTGCCTAGATGAAAAATAATAATATTTTGCAATAGTACAGTATATTGCTGAACACATTTTATTCAGGCATTTGATATATGACTTTTTAGTTAGTAGATATTGTCATGTGTAAAACCAATTTTAAGCATTGTTAATGTATATTGTATATTAGTTCAGGTGGGTAGCTGCGTCAGCATGCGTAGCCTGCAAAGGAATAAGTAATAGGTTTATTCCATGCTGAAAAGAGAAGAGAGAAAACAACGTTTCAGCTGTAAAGCCTTCTTCAGGTGTGAGCAAGGGCAGACAGCAAAGATTAAATAGCACAGAAAGACAAAAGCTGGGGGAGGGGATAAGGCAGGCAGGGCAGAGAGGCCACTCAGGAAGTACAAGATGGAGAGGGGTGAAGGTGCATGAGAATAGAGAATTGTATATAAGTATTTTATAAAATATTTAATTTAATAATAATTTTATAATAATCTTTTAGAATGTGTTACATTATATCTATCTGAATCAATATAATGAAATAATCAAATGAAATAATGAAAGTTAAAAGAAATTTTAAAAACCAAACTTTTAATTAAAATTATTTACTACAAAACAACATTATTTTGGACATATCAGTATTCTGTAAATTCATATTCACTGTCTAGTTCTTTTTATTAACATTAACATTAATAGAGGCAGAGATAGATTGTCCAAAAAAGCTGTGAATTTGTACTTGGATCCTACAACCAGCGCACATCTGACATTACATTTCAAACCAACACTGGGAACCTGCCTTCTTTGTGTTCTCATGGTGAAAAATCGTAATTTCTCCATGCAATCAGCACCCTTACCTGCCAAGGCCAACTGTATGGTGTGACCTGAATACCTCCTATGATACGTTCAGATGTTTTATTCTTCCCTTCCTGTGCATGTCCTTAAAACACAAGTATGAAGGAAAATCATATTTCGTCAGGGGTAAAGCATACATTTTGGACTGAAGATTTTGAGAAGCTGTCCTATAGAACTGTGAAGTGTCAGGAGGTGCAACAGTGGCCCTGGGAGATTTAAGAATGGATGACTGTTTTTGATGCTCACCAGCCTCAGTGTTTATGCGTTTGGCTGCCACAATGTCTTGTGAGAGCTAAGATCTCTGTGCTGGAAAGAGAACTAATTACAAAGTGAAGTAAATTTTTAGAAATAACTTCTTTGGGCGACACCAGGTCTTCGAGGAGATGTTATTGACGTTTTGTTTGTAGCTCAGTAAATGAGCTAGCCAACTGTTTTTTTAGACAGAGCTGTTTGTAAAAATTTAGGACTCCAAGGCGTCTGTATATTTGTTTTGTTTATTTCTGAAAGGTGTCAATTTTAACTCACTTTTCGATTTACCATATGACTATTTAAAAAGAGTACATTGATATTGTTCAGATTTGTCAAAATTATACTTTTGGTCAAGGCCTTGGCCAGTTTGCAGTCAAATATATTGTTTTATATTGCAAAATAGAAAATATAACTCACCTGGCACAAAAAAGATTGAAGCCAAAATAATGTAGAGAAACATTTTTTCAGTTGTCCTTCTCTTCTCAGTTAGCTCTGAGTTTTTGGTCAATATTTATTCACATGTTCCCATGTAAAACACTCCCATTTTCCACTTCATTTTAAGAAATTCCAGTTAATTAGTTTCATAATATGAGTCTCGTTTTATGTTACCATTGTTTCTTGTAACTGACACCCTTCCTATACATGTTATGTGATATTTCCTTCTCACATATTACAGCTTTAACTACACTACAATGGAAATTGTGCCTATTGCTTATTGCTTGCATGACACAAGGCTGCACAGTTTTCCCTTTTACACATGAGATGGGAGGAACAGTATTAGCATTTGTATTTCCTGTTTTGTTTGTATTTTTCTGTTTTTATATTGTGTACATGATATACTGTATAATACCCCAAAACATAAAATAATATATAGTATACAAAAGCATAATGTAACACAATGAGTTGTGGATTGTGATGGCTACAGTATGTCTTGCTTAAAAAGCAACTACAAAGTGTTCTCATATAATTATAACAGTATTTAAGAGAGCAAAGTCAGTTAAATTCCATGAAACTTGTTAAACTTGTGAAAGTGTGATTTTTATTCACCTCTATAAATTTCATGCAAAAATACATCTACAATATCATTGTGTTCTTAGGTAATGCAATGCAAGATTCTTCAGTTGTTCTTGTTTCCCTAGGGTATAATAGAAGGAAGCACACAAAAGTATTTAGTCTTAGCATGTATGAGGAACTGTGGGCAAGTGATCAATGACCTCCACAAGTAGGGAATGAATGTAAAAGAATCAACAGAAGTCAAATATGCCACTTTCCACTAAGACATTTTCAATTTTTATACAGGATGAACATTTATTGTTCTGTAAAAGCCAACCAGAATTCCAAATTTAACAGTGGATTTCAAACACAAAGTGGTATCTTCAGGATGGAAAATGTTGAAAATGCTCTTCAATGCTGCCTGAATGAATGCTGCATTCATGGCCATGTTGTGAGGAAGAAGCTTCTTCTTAGTCCAGACTCAGACTGTGCCAAACTACAGTATACTGTATGAATGAAAAATGTAACTATGTCTTATGGTCAGATGAAATACATTTTGAGCTTTTTGGACACTCTCATCAATGTTATGTTTTATGAAAAAAATGGAAGACAAAGAAATATTTTAGCAACACACAATACTGTACATGTTCCCTACTACCAGTTCAGTATCTTAACCTCAGACCAATGCCAGAATATCTTAGTTATTATGCATCTTGTCAGAATAATTTACAAATTACTATTTTTCTGGACTTTAGTTAATTATTTATGACAAATATGATTTTGCTCTGGGTCATTATATTGTACACAGGTAATTGTCCTTATTTTGTCAGGGGTTTGACTACAGACTACAGACCAGTTGTGCTGACTTCTCAAGTCATGAAGACACTGGAGAGGCTGGTCTTATCCCACATGAGACCCCTGGTTAGTTCATCATGGGACACCCTACAGTTTGCCTACTAGCCCAGTGTTGGTGTGGAGGATGCAATCATCTACATGCTGCAAAGGGCCTACTCACACCTGGACAAGGCTGGCAACACCGTAAGGATTATGTTTTTCGAATTCTCCAGTGCCTTCAATACTATCCAGCCCTATCTCTAAGGAGGAAGCTGGAGGAGATACAAGTTGATGCCTCCATCATCTCGTGGATCACTGACTATCTGACAGGCAGACCACAGTCTGAGAGACTTCAGAACTGCGTGTCTGAACAGGTAGTAAGTAACACAGGGGCTCCTCAGGGGATGGTTCTTTCTCCGTTCCTCTTCACCCTCTATACTTCGGACTTTAAATACAACTCAAAGTCATGCCACCTGCAGAAGTTCTCAGATGACTCTGCAATTGTGGGATGTATCAAGGGTGGGCAGGAGGAAGAGTACAGAGGACTGGTCAGCAGCTTTGTGGAGTGGTGTGGGGAGAACAACCTGCAATTGAATGTAACAAAGACGAATGAACTGGTGGTAGATTTCAGGAAGAAAAAGGTTAAACCTACTCCGTGTTCTTTTTCTTTTCCCGTTTACAACTGTTTTTGTGCAATATATGCCAGGGACCAGGGACATTTATATTTATATTCATATTGTGCAATAAGACTTTTTTGTGTAGTGTTCTGTTCTTTTTGTGTTCTGGACTATGAGTAACTCTTCTTAGTGCACTTCTCACTGTACTGATTGTATTGTATTATTATTATTGTATAATTCGTTACACTGTGGCTGTGTTGTCTGTGTTAAGCTTCTGTTGCACTGCAATTTCCCTCACGGGATTAATAAAGTATCTATCTATCAATAAATAGAGCACTATATAGTCAGACTTAAAGGGGAACTACAGTCCCAATTTCTCAGACTGTTATTTAATCTCTGTAACAAAATTAATTGAAGTTACAGAAAATAAATGACAAATTGCAAATTGAGCACAAAATTGTGAACTTTGGGAAAGTACTGTAAATCGTCGTGTTGTTGCAGACTCACATCTGAGTTCCCACAAATTTGCGATTTCTTTCCTGTTTCCTTCCTGAATTATTGCACTTGTATTGTATATTTCAGCTCTTAACCTTAGATCTGCAGATTCAGGCCTCTTTACTAGGCTGAAGTCACGTTTCCACACAGTGGGCAATAGAGCCCCATCTGTGCTGCACCAATGTACTATGGACCTCAAATGAATGTCTCTATAACTCATACAGACTCATAGATTTACTTTTACTTTTGATTTCACTTTATTTATAGATATCTGTGAAGATAAATCTGATAAATAGGACAGTACAGTACTATAATTATTGTTATAACCTCTTGATTTAAATTACCTTGATTTGAGAAGTAGTAATATACTTGCTGTAAGAAACATATTTGAAACCACTCCCTTGTGAAAGATGAACCAGAACACACAACAGAAACAATGGGTAAATCCATAACCTCAGAACAGAAGGTATATTTTTACACAAAAGATTGTGAGAAGCCATTGTGAGATACCTTCTGGAAGAAGCCATTCTGCCATATTGTCAATAATAATACCCAGGTTTCTTTTTTTTCTTGTGTTTGCTGGTGTAATTGTTACTTACACTGGCCTTTTGCTTCAGAATTTGTTTGATCTTTAAAGTGGTATGAAAGGTTCTTGGATAATTACAGTGCCGACATTTTTCTTTTTTCTATTAGCAGCAAAGTCTATTTTTATGGTAAAATATTCAATGCCTTCCTGATTTATTATAACCACAAAGAAATAAACATGAAAAATATATAACAGAATGCATGAATAATTTTTCTCCCTAGCGGGTGAGCTGGAGCCTATCCTGACAAGCAATGGGTACAAGGCAGGTACCATAGAGCAGTTGTTCTCAAACTTTTTGGACCAAGTACCACCTCTAATTTAAACCAAAGCATCCATGTAGCAAAAGCTGCACATGTTCGCTGTCCATTTCATTACAAAGCACACTGAACAGACGTGAATTCATTGGACAAGCCTTGATACAATTCACAACTTTGACAGCAGAGTCTAACACAGATTTTAAATCCTCAGGTGGTCTTGGCTCTCCCTCCGTCCTGGTGTAAGCAAATTCCAAGCTTAGATAATTTGGATCATACCACCCTGTAGCTGTTTTCCGACGCTTGCTAACACAGTGCTGTCTGTGTCAGGTTCAGCAGCAGAGCTAGTGTCAGTGGCCGATGTATAATCCTCCTTGTTCTCAACAGGTGTGCATGATCTATTGGAGCTGGTGTCAGTACCCTTGGCATCTATTCCTTTCAGCCATGACATAAAACTTGATTTTTGTGAGGTTTTCATTTTCGATCAATTGTTCTGACGGCGAATGTGGCGCTGTTGGAGAAAGTTTTCCCTGTTTCCCCATGAAAGACAGTCAAGGGTCCATCTCAGAAGCTAAAAATAGTTTTTATTTCATGCACATGGGAGCGAAACACACAGAGATGTTCGGTGTATTTTTCTCAAAGTAATTAACCTAGAACAGTCCTTAAACATTTTTCTGTTATCTACTATGCTTTCCTGTGTTTAAAGGTTGGCAGTGTTCCAAATTCACGCACATCTTCCTACCTCCCTATTTACTAAAGATAACTGCTTTTAATACCATTGGTCCCTTAGGTTCTTAGCACGCATTCCTATACAATGGTATAGAATTACATCGTAGCCCTTGTGTCAACTCAAGTATTAGCGCGTGCTAAATTGACATAGCTAAGCATGTAGGCTGTGTATTTGACACATAAACTAGTTTTATTAAAATAGAAAATATGAAAACCCGTCTCATGGAAACCTACTGAAGCTAAGCAGGTGTGAGCCTGGTCAGTACCTGGATGAGAGACCTTCTGGGAAAAACTAAGGTTGCTGCTGGGTGTTAGTGGAGCCAGCAGGGGGCGCTCACCCTGCAGTCCATGTGAGTCCTAATGCCCCAGTATAGTGACGGGGACACTATACTGTAAACAGGCACCGTCCTTCACATGAGACGTAAAACCGAGGTCCTGACTCCCTGTGGTAATTAAAAATCCCAGGGCATCTCTTGAAAAAAGGAGGGGTGTAACCCCGACGTCCTGGTCAAATATCCCATTGGCCCTTATCAATCATGGCCTGCTTATAATCCCCATCTATGAATTGGCTGCATTACTCTGCTCTCCTCCCCACTGATAGCTGATGTGTGGTGAGCATTCTGGCGCACTATGGCTGCCGTCCAGGTGGATGCTCCACATTGGTGGTGGTGGTGGAGATGAGTCCCTATTACCTGTAAAGCGTTTTGAGTGGAGTGTCCAGAAAAGCGCTATATAAGTGTAAGCAATTATTAATTATTATTATTATTTACCACCACAGACTGTATTCAGATGCCACCCAAAGTCTATACATAGTTCTGGAAGCTTCCATTCCATAACTTAAAAGCAAATTATTGCTGTAGATGTCTTTTTGTTGGATAACGATGATTTTTCTGCAATTTCATTGAGGTTTTGAAATATGGGCAGTGTAATTGTAAAGCCTCCATAATACAGATTCTTCTCTATTGTATATT